ATAAAAAAATGGTTCATGAAATTTTAGTTCACTCATAAAGCTAAAGTCCGCCTGCTCTAGCAAAAAATGCCCACTGTGCCCCCCCCCCTCCCCATGCAACAAACAAGATGAACTTCCGCGTTCATCGAAAATGAAATGCCTCTTGAAGGTTCTTTTGGCGTTCAATGTTCCAGTACTAGTACTACAATTATCATTAAGCAACATTTGGAGGCGAGCCTGTCCTTTGGACCCTTCATTGTGGGATAATAAATAGTTGGATAGCTGATGTGTCTTCTTATCTTACACTATGATTGATCAGTCATAGTGATTATCACTATTGGACTTGATCAATCATTCATGAAGCTGCCACCAGCATGATTCATTAGACCAATAACACTATTTACCAGCTAAATTAGTTTCAACACTTTTCTAACCACTAAATACATAATTTTGTGGATAATCGTGGGCCCGTAAGCAGTTGAAACGAGAGCGTTGTTTTTGTTTATGGCACCATATACGGCCAAAGCCAGTCCCAATGTCCAGCTATATTTTGAATACTTTTAGAATTGAACAAACTACCATCTTATGTGCTATGCCCAAACATAATGCCCACGCAAATAATTGCCACAATTAATTCAACAAGATGTGCATAATCACCAGCTATCGATAGTGTTGTTACCCATATCTTTTAGTAGTTTAATCGATTGCATGACTTCCAATGTTGATTTGAAAAAACATAGCATTTTTTCGCCACTTCTCAAAGTTGGATATAACGTTTGAACTAAATCGAGAACATTTTCATCACTCACATGTTTAGTCATATTATAGAGTCTGTTCATTGTTGGTAAAATAAATTCTTCGAATTGACAATGTTTTATTGGATGAAATAAATTCCGAGATACGGCAATATCTAATGTAGCCCAAGATATAATGATTTTAATTTTAGTGGTTAGCTGTGGTTTTGTGGATAATAAACGGGCTAAGAGCGCCAGACATAGATCGATATTTATTGATCGTTCGTGCACTTCATCGATGAAAAACACAAAGCCTTTTTTAGTTTTGTTGATACGTTTCAAAAGAAGTTTTTCGTTAAACAAAAGATATTCTTTTAATAATCCATCTGTTAAATAAATAATGGGGGAATCAGCAGAACATTGAATACCAGATACAGCCCATCCGGTTATGCCTGCTATTTTTGAATTAACATGATTTGATAATAACTGACATGGTAATCTTCGTGGTTGAGTGACAATTATTTTTTCGTATCCATTGGCCATTAATAGTGCGGGAAGCATGGTGGATTTTCCAGATCCCGTTAATGTTGAAATAACAATGACAGTATTCTGTGCTACTTTTCTTAAGAGATCCATCGACGACTCAAAAAGTGGTAATTGCAAAGCAAAACAATTCCGATAAATTGTAACTCGCTGAAGAAATGTTGGAATCGCGTCAAAATTTTTAGTCAAATACCCGCGATATATAGGATCACGCTCAAATAATCGTTCTAGTTCTTGAAAATGCTCGTCTAGAATTTTTATGATAGGTAATGAAAATTCCTTTTGCTTTTCCAGTAGTGACTATTATGAAAACTGCACCCAGGTACCTGGGACCATGTCTCTCAATGCACCGTTTTTACTTTTTGATTTTTTTTCCAGTTTTAGGATTATAAAATCAAAATACAAGATTTTAAGTAGGATTTGAGCTATTTTTTCATATCTCGAGAAAAAAATATCAGAAATCAAAAAATTTTTGTATCCTAAGATATGGTCTCAGGTACCTCGCACTGCGCATGTAAATGATCTTTTGATAACTAAATCAAAGGTGCTCTTTTTGAGCTGAAAATATAGGGATATATAAATTGAATGTTGGTTTATTTAATAGTATTAAAAGGTTTGTCTCAAATGGCAAGATTGACGGTAAAGCACATACCAAAAACTGTTCCAAGTTTCCAGAAAACTCATAGAAGCACATTTCAAAGAATTCTGGGTTAAAGCACATCGATTTTCTTTTGCCATGTTCTGCTGGATTTGAACTCAATCGTACGTCACTTTCTATGGCTTCCGGTGTTTCTTTTCTTTTCTTTTCTTTGTACTTTAATTCCAGGGATCCCAGATCGTCTGATTTTAGCAGAAAAAGTCTTATTTTGAGACTTTTTTCTGCCTCGTTTCTTATTTTCTTATTTTTGGAATTTTTTCTTATTTCAGAATCTTTGTTTGATATTGAACGAAAATTTGATCTATAATTTTTTGTACTAAAATTTTTTATGTACAACTAACCGTTTGGGTATGAGAACAAACAACGTTCTGATTTTTTTCTGATTCCAACCTGTTTTTCTGATTTTTGTCTGATTTTGAATTTTTTTTTTCTCATTTCCGTCTTTTAGATCTGGGATACCTGTTTAATTCAGTTAATCTAATATTCGAATTCTCATTATGTACACAGTAATGTTTTTGAGATGAAGACTTATGAGAGGAAAACTTTTATCGTAAACTTGAACTATTTTATCCTTGATAGTTTTAGAGTAGAAAGAGAGTATCTTTTCTCAGACAATGCACCAGAAAAGCCCTTTCATAAATGTTTACTTCACGCACGACCAACGTTATCCGACCTTATCGACAACATTCATAGGCTAAATGTGAAAGCCGTCTATCGTACAAAGCAATAACGTATGAGTCAGAATTCAACTGCATAAGGAATATTGCAGTTTACATGAACAGATTAAAAGCAGCTCACCTTTGTGACACTAAAATGCCCGATTCCAGTAGCAATCTCGTTATGAAGTATGTCACAACCATAACAAGATCTGTCGGTATTCTTGCAGCTAAATGAAGTGGATACTTCGACGTGAAAAATTTACATGTGACTGCGAAACACTTCGCAAGTTTCACTGGTGGTCACAGGATAATAATACTACGAGAAATTTTCCTAAACAAATTACGGTGGTCACATGTGAAAAACCTTATTTTGCGAGTGGTCAGAAGTGAAAGAATTTTTTTTCATACGTGTCCATATATGACTTCACGTCCTTCACATGTGTCCACATATCATAATACGAACTTCACGCTTGTTGGCGTGGTTTACTGACTAAAATTTCCCCATGGATGAACCTCATACGACAGCTGTTGATAGATTACTGTATTCTGCTCATTCATAATTAGTTACAGATAAATCTAAGTGCTACAAAACCCCGTACCGTCGATAGACATTCAAACGAGCTGTGGCAACTGTAACTGTTGACTGATTACTACTCTTTGTAACAGTGACGGATAAGCAGTTACTAGGGCTGTAGCCGTTCACGTCGATTTAGCAAAAAGTTCAACGGAAACGGTGATGATTTTGCCGTTGACGTTTGGAACTGTCAACGTAAATATTATGTCGTTAGATGTCGTTATATTAGAGTTCAGTATAAGTACAGAGACACACCATTAATTATCTTAAATACCTTCTTAGGAGGAAGCATGATTGAAGAAAAGAGGCAAAAACCGGAAAAAAACGGTAATTTTTGATAAACATGAGATCTTCCCTCAAATCGTTCTTTCCCTGAAAAAATGAAGATATCACCAATTTAAGGATCGTAGTTGAATGGATTTCGACTGATAAAAGTACCGTTGACAGTTCAGAACGTCAACTAATGAATTACCGTTGACAGTTGAGAATGAAAACCGCTACGGCTACACCCCTAGTAGTCACCGCTACTGCAGTAGGAATGATTGAACAATAACTGGTAACTATCATAGCCTCACGTTAAATCTTCTTCTCCTCTTAGAATTCGTCCTCTTTAGGTCAGTATACTCTCGTCCGCAGAGAAACCTAGTCCAGTAACCATCATTTAACTGCATTAATATATTTCATATCAGTACCCATTGGAACCTTTGTAATTCATTTGAACTAATTAGAAAACAGTTTTTAAACGCAAAACTGAAAAGGATTGACTTGTGAGAAAAGTACGAGAAAAATGTCTTTTCCCCCATACATAATTTTCCAACCATTTTCACAAAATTAAGTATTTTTTTTCTCCAAAAGTCTCATCCTAAATTCATTCATAATTAATCTTTTTTCGATCAAAAATTAATTTGAATTGATTTAACTCAATAAACTAATTCAAATCAATTGAATTTTAATCAGTTCAGATTACTTTATTGGGTTAAATTAATTTTGAATTGAAAACAAATTAATTTGAATGAATTTAGTATGAGACTTTCTAATCAGTTCAAATGAATTAAAACAGTTCCAATGGATAAGCACACAATGTACTTGAAGGCCCTACGGACATGGCGGAATACTTTTATTGCATTAATGCAATGCTCATCGTAATACAGCTTCGCTGGATTTCATTATTCTCATTAGGTCTTCTTCCCTTACTTCCAACCCCTCTCCACCCGTTGAGTTGTCACAAAAAGCTGAATGCAATTGAAGTCCAGTGTTGATGACGCATGATACTTTACTCACCCACAATTTGCCGAGATCTTGCAGAGGATTTATCTTTTGAATATAACGAAGATATAGCAATTTTGATTATTTCTTTCAGTGCTAAGCATCTTAGTTGTTCGACTTGTGCTTGAAATGAGTTTTGTTTCATGTAGTGTATTGTGTGGATCCTTAACTCTTTCCAACACTTGATTGTATTCTTAATACAATCGTCGACGAGCTGTTTACATTTCTTATCGATATAGTCATTGAAGGAGTGAATGCACTGCTGTTGTTCAGTATTCAGTAACTTTATCAGCGTCTCGTAATAGTGATTCCAGCTATCTCTTAAATTTGGTCTGCACCGTACAGCTCGCATATTTTTGATAATTGTTTTCGTATATCTTTGAATATCGTTTGCATAAGAATCTTCGGTTTGCTTTGCAGATCCCATCAAATTCTGAATTCTTTTCTGAATTTGTTCCATTATTTGATGATGAATCGGCAATCCTTTAACAACGAGTGCGTATTGATTTTCATCCGTTGAATTCTCGCGTATCGTAACAGAAACGAGATCTAAGTCATTATGGTCATACGGAACAGTTTTAATTAACTCTGTCATAATTAACTCAGACTTTGTTATTAAGTATTCTTTTGCCGGTAGATTATAGCGTTTTACCAGTAGTTCTTGAATGCGACAGTGTAGGTTTGAACCGAATATGGGTTTCGTTAGCTTACTGCAGTTTTTTATGCTGATCATGAAGATGCTGTTTATTTTGACTGAGAACTGCGTTATAATGATGAAAAATTCAATTCATTTGAAGAGTTTTGCTACTCCGTGTTATTTCGGCCTATTTCTGAACAATCTCCAGAGGCTGCTTTCGAAATTTGAAGAGAATTGTCTGCTCTATAATGCTCCAAAAAGTTGTTGACCTAGACTACTTTATGTTTCTTACAACCGAAAAACTTTGCTGTTTAAGTTTCTAAAATTTTATGTATTTGGGTTTATCCACTTTAATTTTTGAGTTCTAAGAACTGAGATACACATTTCCCGCTCATTCGACTGATAATACAATTCATCCAAAACAAAGAACATCCTTCATACAAAAATCAAAATAAGGAATTTTTTTTGAAAACTCATAAGGTATCAACCAAACCTTGTATGCAAATAAAAATGGGTCAAATCCTTATCAAAGGGGCATCCTCATCAAAGGGGCACAGTGAAGTTATCGTCGAGGGAAGGAAAATTCGTCTTCGAAGAAAATTTCTGTGGGAATGAATGAAAATTCTTGTGAAAACTGAATGTATATATAGCAGATATTTTCGATAGAACTCGGACATCCCTCGTATTTTTGAGAGTATTTGGAAATTTGGCAATTTAGGTATATCTCTGTGTCTAATATTACGTGCGAGTTTAGCTGGAATATGGTCATGTGTGATGAACTCATTAATTTTGTCCTTTACAGTTTTGTACGTTTCCTACACGGTTTTTTTTGCAACTCTTGCATAATTCCATGTCATTCAATAGAATGTAGGCTTTCTCCTCATAAACATCTTTGCTCATCACTACAATCTCTTGCACTTTATCCGCCTGTTAAATCACAAAATTTCGACTCTTCCCTAGACCGTCCAATGCTCTATATTCCTCCATTCTCATATCGGGACGAAATGCATAAGGTAATTGCACTATCGCATAGCACACCAAATCTTTTTTGAGTTTAAGGAAACCCCCACCCTCTCAGAAAAAAACTTCTTTGCCTTACATTCAATTTTTGATAAAACTTTCAGCAAATATTTGCCATATCAAAGTGTGGTTATGAAATTTATTTTACTTCTCTATCTCTTACCGTTTCGGGGTTTTCCAGAGTTCCGATACTACTATCCGCGCCAAAATACCAGGCCATCAGTTACTTTTTGAATAACTTTTGGTAGAAGATAGATAGACACCGGCGGTTTTCAGTTT